CAAAACCTACATATGTGCCCTGACTCAGAGTCGAACCCGCAACCTTTTGATGCAGTGGACGATGCTCCAACCAACAAAGCCACCGGCTGGGGGCTGGATCAATTTTTCAGTGCAACCAGCCTGCATTCTTCCAGCGGCTCAGGGAAGGGGGCAAGCTCACAGCAGGGGCGTTTCAGACCAGGTGCAGCGAAGACCCAGGACAGGCCCCTGGGAACAGCGAGCCCCTCTCGCCGGGGCCTCTGCTTCCTGGAGGGAGAACAGGGCCCCTGCCCTTCATAACCAGGTGCGAAGGTGCGACACCTGGAGTCATCGGAGGGAGCACTGAGTTTCCTTAAAAAATGATTGTTCTGCATTTTAATTATTTCAACTCAGGAAACTACTCACTAAGTCATCCGTGTACTCCTGTTCGGGAGGAAGTCTACTCTCCGAGGCGGCAGACGCTGCCGTGTTCCGGCTCTCTCCGCTTCGCCCCTCCCCCTCGCACATTTTCTCTTTCAAAATCTATTCAACCTGGTGTTTCATAGGCCAAGCTCCATTCTAGAGTAAACTTTTACAACCAAATTATAAATGTATCTTACCAGTGGGTCAGTTTTGAACTGCTGTCCTGACCCCATTAGATTTTGGGAGAATCAGACAGACACTTCTCACCATGATTCAGTTACGCGATGAGCACGGTTGCAGTCATCAGTGGTAACGACGCTCAGCAAGCCGTCCCCACAGCGCAGTCAGCGACCACAGCACAGAGAGGAGGAGGCAGTCTTACCACAACCCCTCCTCCGCCCCAGGACCTTCCTACCTTTAAACCTGGAGGAGCCTGAACCCCGAAACCGCCTGTCACTGTGCGGGTCATCAGTGCTCAGTACCCCGCAGGCCTCCAGCCAGGTTCAAGTGTCCAGTGCCAGGTATGAGTGACCACCCAGCTAGAGATGTCATCTGAGACTTGCCCACCCTCCACTCTACAAATGACTTACAACTAAACCCACCAGCATTTATTTTATCTGAACACACCAGCACCACACTGTATTAATAACACTGCAGACAGTTATACCTCATTCTGAGCAATAATACGACCCCCCAAAAGCTATTCCCAAAAGGTTTCTCTCCTAGGAAATGTTTGTGAGCTCACTATTTGAAAACATGCTTTAGGGAAACTTTTTTTTTTTGTGGTATGTGCCCCTAGCAGGAACCGAACCCGGGACTCCCTGGTCTGCAGGCCGACACTCAGCCACTGAGCCAAACTGGCCAGGGCTTTAGGGAAACCTTTTGCAAACTGCAAATGATGTGTTTCCTAGATGATCTGGTTCCTGACCAAGGCACCTGTGCAATGGCCTGTCTCTTGCATTCTGGCAAACAGCAAATGCTCCAGGAGTAAGTGGATAAGTGAACATAAAGGGGCATCTGTAGATGCTCCTTCATCCTGCATGGAAGGCTTCACATGGGACCTCCAGTGTGTGCACCTTCCTGCTGGCTGCCCGCTACAGGGAGCCTTGCTCTTGGTCTCTGCCCCGCATCCTCCCCTCTACGGCGTCTCCTCCCCAGCAGGTGTCTATACCACAGAAATGAGAAAGCAGGGGGCAGCAGAAGATGTTCCATCCCAGCCACCCCTCTTCTGCTGTGGTAGGAGTGGGTGGGGAAAGGGAGTCACTAAGAGAAACTATCCAAACTGTCTTGAATTCTAAGCACTTCTACGAGGGACTAATTTACAGCGAGTGGGTGTGGAACAGACGCAACAGGGCCCTTCAGAAAGGGTTATTCTAACCTGGCGGGTCGTGGAAACCTAAGTGGTGCAGGAAGGAGGCCGAGAGAAGGTCGGGAACTCAGGGTGCCCTGGTGGGCAACAGAGAGAGTGCCCAGGCCACAGACCTGGGTCAGGCTGAGGAGGGGCCTCAGGCAGGGCACACTCTGGGGACACTGGGCACAGTCTGGAAACATTTTTGGTTGTCACAGGGAGGAAGGATGCTAAAAGCCAGGGATGCTACTAAACACCCTACAATGCACAGGGCAGCCCCCCACAATAAAGAATTATTCAGTGAAAACTGTCAGTGGTGCTGAGGTAGAGAAACCCTGGTTGAATCAAAGTTGTCATCAAGAATTCTGGTCCAGTCTGTGGTTCAGAAAGTCACAGATGAGGCTCATAATGGAAGAAAAGGAGGAAGGCGAGAGGCACTTGGACCCTCAGGAGCCGACACAGATCCCTGCAGAGGCATCAGGGGTCCTCAGTCCCAGAGGCTCCCATTCACCGGTTCACAAGCAAGTCCCGTGGACACGTGCGGATCTGGGCTGGACACCCACAGCGGGGAATCCCAGGCGCGCCCAGAGCACGGCCCAGCGGTTCGGTTCACAGATACCGAATGTGGTGCTGCGAAGACATTGGTCATTGAGAAGAGGGACTTGACCCTTCCAACCTGCTTCTTTATAGTTTAATTCTCAGTAGAATATGACTTTCAAGATTTAAAAAACAATTCCTTACCAAAAAAGTCCTTTGTCAAGACTGTGACTTATTAACCTCGGAGACCAGATTGAGAATGTTGAGGAAAGATACTTTCTGCACTGTTCACGATGATCTCACTTATCTCTACTGCCAAAACAAAGTCTAAAAGTTAAAAGGATAAGAATAAATACTAGGTCATTCAAATAATTTCTGCTACTACAAGGGCAACTCACTCTTACCTCTCAAATAGTCTAGAAATTCTCCCTGGCAACTCTTTTAGTGGGGACATAGACAAGCCAGTTTGAAAAATGACTACACCCCAGCCAGTGTGGCTCAGTGGTTGAGCGCTGACCCAGGCATCAAGAGGTTGCCAGTTTGATTCCTAGTCAGGGCACATGCCCAGGTTGTGGGCCAGATCTCCAGTGGAGGTCATGCAGGAGATGGCCAATTGATGTTCTCTCTCATTGATGTTTCTATCTCTCTCTTCCTTTCTCTCTCTCTAATACCAATAAAGAAAAAAAATTTTAAAAAAAATGACTACAAGGTGACCTCATGTCCAGTATGCGGCTCGATGCATCCCTAACTTGCTCTGGAGATCACAGGAATAGTTATGTTGTAATCATCGTCTCTCCCAGTTTCCTGAGTGTGATTATTAACCAACAAACAAAATAACTAATAGATACCAACATATACATAAGCCTCTTTATTATTTTTTTCCTTCTTGGATAAAATGGCAAAACAGCCAAAGAATGATCTAAAATGCCTTTGGTTGTATTAATAAAACACTGGCTTCTCTAAATTTAAACTTAAAATCCAATTAATTCATCAAAATGTCAGTTATCACATAAGCATTTTGGTAAAAAGGAAATACCTCGGAATGAAGAAGACTCCACAGGAATAGAGGGGGGTGGTGAGCTGACGCCAGTCAATCAGCATGATCCCTGTAGCCCTGTCCGCTGACATCTGCTCTAGCGAAGCCTCGGAGGGGACGATGAATACTGCTGGTGGCACAGGGCCCTGTTCTCCCCACGGCCTTTCCCATCTCAATGATAAAGCATGTTTGTACCAAACACCGTCAGTACTGTTTCGAGCTCCCAAAGCCACAAACCTCGGTGAAAATTTCTACAAAGCACATGGGGCTGGTCACAAACGGAATCACAATGACCAACCTTATGACTTTGGGGCTAAACAGACGAGTCCATGAAGGCTGTAATTTATGCCACTGTCTTCAGTGATCAGGAAGCAGAGAACAGAAATGTAAAAGCAGAGCTAGACTCTGAGTACCCTAGCCTCATCTGCAGGAGAATGGCTTCCAGTGGTCCCGCTCCTGCTCTGTGCCCGCATTTTTCAGCTGCAAAGGGGACTTGGTCCTTTGTCTCCCTTCTGTAATCCAAAGCCAGCTGATCAGCTACCATTTTAGCAGCAGAAGCAGGAGACTGGAGGAGACACAGATAACCTTTTAAAGGTTTATACAGAGTTAAATGCAATCACCACAGTCCTTTTGAAACAAATAAAGGCATGAAAAGAAAACACTGAAATCCTACGTTTCCTCCAGCTAACGGCCAGCATACCGTTGACCTCTGGCTTGAAATCAAGGGTTTTTAGGGGACAAAAACTAAAGGAGGAAGTATTTTTAGAGCTGAATTATGATTAGTTTACAAAAGCTGGATTTTTCCCCCTAAGAACCAACAAAGTCTATTCCAATTTCAAGCAACAAAGAGTAAAAACATCTTAAAATCATTGTCTTTATCACAAATGGAAGAAAGTGATCCTCATTCCTTACACTGACTGAAGTCTCACTTGCAGCCCTTTTTGCTCAGGAAACAAACCACCATTATGGGACCACCTAAGTATGGTTGACGGTCACAGGTATCTATCTGGAGTTTGCTGTAGTCAACTTCTCCCTTCCGAAGTGAGAGAAAGGAATGTCCCCCAGTGAGTCCTGATCACACAGGTGATGCCTGTGTAACTGACCAGGACACTGTCAAAGCCATCAGCTGGGGCCCATCGGCAAAGGAAAGTTTCAGCTGCTGCTCCTGGCACCAACCATTCATCTCTACCAAACTCAGAATGATCCAAACAGGAGCTGCACTCAGAGGACAGATAAAGACGCGGGGTAAAGGGAGTGAATGAGCCAAATGAAGGCCCAAGAACTGCCCTGCCATCAGGGCCTCGAGGACACAGGAAGAGTTAAAACGCAGGCCAGCTAAGTCTGCAGTCTCCAGCTGAGCCCACTCCAGCGAGTCACACTTTCAGATCGGAAGGGAAGCCTCTCAGGGCTGGATACACTGATTCCAAAGTCTCCGGTAGCGTGACACCTCACTAGAAGCGGACAAGGATAGAGAGGTGTGGGGGGAGATGGGAGGTGTAAGAAAATGGACCAGAAATTCCCGAAGGTCCAGAACTCCGTCTCCAGGCCTCTTCCTAAAAGTTGCTAACCTGGGTCTGTGTGGCGGGCAGGGCAGAAGAGGGGAGGCCTGAGGCTGGGCTGCGTTTGATCCCAGGGCGACAGGGACCACCTCGGGGAGGCGCACCGGCGCAAGGGGAAGAGGACACGAGGGAGCCTTACTTTTGTAGCTCGCCGCCCAGGGCTGGTAGCCGTAGTAGCCAGTGATGCGCAGGATCCGCTCCTCGATGGACGTGAGCCCCGCGGGCCCGCTGGTGAGGTCCTCCACCGAGCGCGACCATTTCAGGTCCTCCTTGATCGCCTCGTCCACCACCAAGTACTTGAGCTGCCTGAGCTGGGGGCTGATATCGGACAGTCTCCGAGGACTGACGTCTGGTGACCTCCTCATGCCACTGAGGCCGGGCAGGTGGGCCGGGAGGGAAGAAGGGGTAGATTTCCGTGAGGACCGATCTGAGGTCGAGCCAGAGCGCGGCCCGGCCTCCAGCGGTAGGTGCGCAAGGCCGGCGCTTCCCCTCCGCCCCTCGCCGCCCACCCAGCTCCCGCGGCGGCCTCGGCGTCGGGTCCCGTCTCGGTGTCGGCCCGGGAGCCCCGGGGCAAGGCAGGCTGGCGCGAGTGGCGAGGGACGGCACGCCTGAACTTCCCGAGCGCCCCGCCGCGCGCCGCGCCCTCCCGAGCCCCGGCCCGCCGGAGTCCCGGCCGCAAAGGGCCGCCCGCCCGCGCACCCGCACCCGGCGGTACTCACACGGCGATGCCTTTGCCCCCGGGCGCGCCGCCGGGAAACTCTCGGATACCCATAGGCAGCGGCAGAGTGCAGCTCGGAGCGCCCAGACTGGAGGCGGAGGGGCCGCCGGCCCGAGCTGCCGGCAGCCGGACCCGGTGGCGGAGGGCGCGCTGCCCGCCGAGGGTCCACGCCGCCCGTGCGCGCCCGCGCCGCCTCCCCAGCGCCTCCCTCCGCGGCGCGCGGCGCGGGCGCGGTTCAGCCTGCTCGGGCCGGTCCCGGCGCCGCTGCAGCCCCGCGGCGGCCGGCTAGTGCGCCCCTCGCCTTCGCCTTCGCCTCGGCTCCCCGCGGACCCGGGGGAGCGCTGGGAGTGGTGTCCGCTCTCCAGGCACCTGAACGGGCGGTGTGTGCAGCCAGAAACGCAGGGGCCAGGTGGGGGCGCTGCTGCCCCTCTCCCGTGGCCAGGGCGTGCGCTGGGCTCCGGAGCAGCACCAGGCGCCCGCGCTCCGCCTGGAAACCTCGGAGCTGGCGCGCTGTCAGGTCCTGCTGCTCGGGTTCGGGTTCAGCAGTTCAGTTCAGTTTAAATCTCTCTCTCTCTCTCTCTCTCCCCCCCCCCCCCCACTTGGAAGGACAGAAACCTAGTTCTATGTCCACAAAAACCACACTCAATGTCAAATAGATAAATGGCAGTTTGTAGGCAAAGCCGAGACAGTGTAGAGAAAGCTGGTCAGGCCCTGCTCTGAGAACTTGTATGTTCTCACTGATGACTCCGTTACTAAATCAGATCTCTCAGATCTCCTTTGACTTGGCCTTTAATTGTGCACTGTTGGTTGGTTGGTTGGTTGGTTGGTTGTTTTTTGTCCCCAGGCATCTCTCCAGAACACCTAGTCACTTTTCATAATGCTGTTTTTCTGTTGTAAAAAAATATGCATAGGTTCATTAAAGCAAGTTTAGGAAATACAGAAACAGGTAAAAAAAAAAAAAACCCATTATCTAGGCAAAAATGACTACTCTGAATCATAACTGTATTCTCTTCCACATCTTTTTCCTTTCCACATTGGAATGTAAATATACTTTTTCACAAAATTAGAATCAAATTGTACACACTGCTTTTTGTACTTTTTAAATATTAAAATTATATTGCTTCAGCTAACTAGAGATAGAGGAGAACTCACTCAAACTGGACATCTACAAAACTCCAGCAGCATCATGGAAGGGAACCGGAAGTGTCCTTGCTAAGCTCAGGAGCAGGCGAGGACAGCTGTTCTCTCCGCCCCTTTTCAATATCGGCTACAAGTCCTAGCTATGCAGTTAGATAAGAAAAGGAAATTAAGAGTGTTATCTATTGGAAAGGAAGAAGTGAAACTTTCTTTGTTCACAGATGGCATCATCATTTATGTAGAAAGCCTCAAACAATCAACTAAAAATTGACCAGGAACAAATATTGATTACAGCAAGTTTTCAGGTTAATATACAAAAGTCAATTGACTTCCTGTATACCAGCAATGAACAACTGGAATTTGGAATTTAAAACATAATACCACCTACATTAGCACAAAAATGAAATATTTAGGTGCAAATATATGTATAAGATCCATCCGATGAAATTTACAGAACCCTGATGAAAGAAATCGAAGAAGAATGAAATAAGCTGGGTGACCTTCCATGTCCTTTGGCGGGAGGACGCTGCTGTTGAGATAGCAGTTCTTTCCCACTTGAGGTAGAGTCAATGAATCCCAATCAAAATTTCAACAAAGTTACTTTGTTTATGTCAACAAACTAATTATAAACTTTATAGGAGAGGCAGAAAACTCTAAATAGCCAACAATATATTAGATAACAAAGTTGAAGGACTGACATTACCCAACTTCAGGACCTACTATGAAGCTACAGTAAACAATACACGGCGGTAGTGGTGGGATAACAGACCAGCGGGTCAATGCAACAAAGAGGAGAGCCTGGACCTAGACCCACACAAGTAAGTCAAGTGATGCTTGAGAGAAGAGCAGAGTCCATTCAATGGAGAAGGGCGTGTTCTCAACAACTGGGCATCCGATGCAAAACAGTGCCCACAGGCCGAAGTATAAAATGCAAAATGATAAGACTCTTACACGAAAACACAGAAGAAAACCTAGACAACCTTGGGTTTGGTAATGATGTTTTGGATACATCAGAGATATGATCCAGGAAAGTAAAAATCGGTAAGTTGGACTGTCCCGCAAAAGACACTGGCCAAAGACTGAGATGACAAGCCACCCACTGGGAAAATACATGCAAAAGACTTGTCTGATAAAGGATTATCATCCAAAATAAGAACACTTAAAGCTCAACAATAAGAAAATGAACAACCCAATTTAAAAATTGGCAAAATATCTGAACAGACATGTAACCAAAGATGATGCACAAATGTCCGATAAGCATATGAAATGATGCTCAACATCACATCTCTTAGGGAATTACAAATTAAAACAATGAGTGAGATGCCACTGCGCACCTGCTGCAGTGAAGAGGATCAGAGCGTGGCAACACCAAGCGCCGGGCAGGGCACGGAGCGGCAGGAACGCACCTTCACTGCTGGTGCTGATGCAGAATGCGCAGCCACTTTGGAAGACAGTTTTGCAGTTTCTTACAAAAACCAAATACACTGTTACCACATGATCCAACAATCACCTTTCTATTTCTCTAAATTTAGTTGAAAAGTATGTCCACAAAAAACCCGCACATAAATATTTATAGCAACTTTACTCATAATTGACAAAACGTGGGGCCAACCAAGATGTCCTCCAATAGGTGGATGATGAACAAACTGTGGTGCGTCCAGACAATGGCATGTTATTCCGTGATAACAATTGATAAGCTATGAAGTCATGAAAAGACATGGAGGAACTTTAAATGTATATTTCCAAGTGAAAGAAGCCAATCTGAAAGATTATATACGATTGATTATCACCGGGTGACATTATGGAAAGGCACAGCTGTGGAGACAGTGAAGCTCGGCGGGCACCAGGATTCCCGGTGGGGGCGATGAGTGGTGGGAGGGTGGGATGAATGAGTCAGCACAGGAGATGTTCAGGGCAGTGAAACTGTTCTGTGTGAGACTATGATGCTGGATACAAGTCACAGACTATACACCTGAGTGAGCGCAGAGTGACCTGTGGACTTGGGCAGTGGCTGCCGCGTGTGAGAGACGCACCACAATGCAGCGTGTGGGTGTTGGCAGCGAGGCTGTCTGATATGGGAGTGGGAGGTACTTTCTCTTCAATTTTGCTGTGAACTTAAAATTTCTCTAAAAATAATCTCTTACGAAGCTTTCCAGTGTCACAATAGTTCTCGAAAATACTTTTACTGGATGTACTATCATATAATGGCTGTTTTAATCATAAAAGCAACCATTGATGTTTTTAAAAAAAGGTAAGAAATAATATATAAATGTATAAATAAAAAATTAATATTCTTAACCTGTCTTTTGTGAGAGCCTGAGCAACAAGGTGTCCCTCTCCCTCTCCCTCTCTCTCGTGTGTGTGTGTGTGTGTGTGTGTGTGTGTGTGTGTGATGAAAGCTTTTTTCTTAATCCCTTCTTTTGAGCCTCTAGGACAAGTCTTTTTTTCTTATATCTGAAATATCTCATCATAAGCCAGTCTTGGATGGCCACGAGGACCACCTGAAGTCCGCATCATCCAGGACAGGTGTTTATACAATGACGATTCTGGCTCATCCTCTGAGTAAGGGCAGGGGGCACTCCCTGTCACTGAATCCTCCAGGTGGACTTGATGCACACTGTTTGAGAACCACGCATGTGAATAATGACTGAAGATCCGTGAACTCCACATCCTCCACGTGGCTTCTGCCCAAGGGAAGGTCCTGGCAGAAGTGAACAGAGGCCTCTCTCATTTACACACCGCAGTCTGGCTGCTGTAACCCTGGGCCAGGTCTCTAACCTTCCTGAGCCTCAGTTCCCTCGTCCGTATAACGGGGATGACTTCGTAAGATTGTTGTGAAGATAAAATGAGTTAACACACGTAAAGTACATAGAATAGGGCCTAGAACGTGGTCAAGGCCAGTGCTCAACAGATGAGCTATTATTATTAGCAGTGCAGCTAAAGGTTGAATCCATTTGCTTTTCTTTTTCTTCCTTCCTTTCTCTCTCCCTCAATCCCCCAACCCCCACCCTGGACAACAACATCAAACTGTTCACTCATATCCAAGTTTGTGTTGCCTAAAATCTCTACATAATTTGTACATGTTCAGTCGTTAAGCCATATCCCTCTCCTTTTTAAACAAATACAGATCATGGAATACTTTGCAGCTGTAAGAAAGAAAGAAAGATCTCTTATTCTTTGAAGTGACATGGAGGACCTGGAGAGTATTATGCTAAGCAAAATAAGCCAGCCAGAGAAAGACAAGTATCACATGATCTTACTTATCTGTGGAATATAATGAACAAAATAAGCCGAGGAACAAAATAGATCCAGAGACATGGAAGTCGGGATCAGACTGACAAACATCAGAGGGAAGAAAAGAGATAAACCAAAGAACTTATATCATATGTCATGACCAATGGACACAGACAACAGTGTGGTGAAGGCAGGGGCAGGGAGGGGGTGTCAGTGGGGAATAAACGAGGGACATTTGCAATTTTAAAAAGTTAATTAATTTAAAAATAGTCATAAAATAAAAAGGGAAATAATGAAAGAAATGGCATGGGGTTTGCAGTCAGATAAAATGGTTTAAAGACTGACCGGCTTCTCCACTCACCAGACAGGTAACTTGAGAAAGTTATTTAACTTCTCCCAGCCTTATCTGCTTTCACATCAACCTCAAATAGTTATTATAAAGATTAATTAAGTTTAATCATATTAGAACCTAGCACAGTGCAGTCTGGGTATAACTCAGTAACTATTAGCAGTGACAGTTACTGTCACTTCCACAGTGTTTCCACTGTCCGCTGGGACATTGCCGTAGTCTCAGGATGTGCTGGGGCGGTGGCTGTCAGCACCACTTGCTGCCGCGCCCCCAGGTGCAGCGGGCACCACTTGTAGCTCCTCTTCCTGAATGCTCTCAATTCTACAAGCACCTGCTTCAGCCTTGTTCTGTCTGTGACACGTGACACACGTCCGCCTGGACGCTGTGATGGCGCATGTGCGCTCCTGTGGGCGGAGGGCCCGCCACGCCCCCTGCAGTCAGGTGTGGTCAGCCCGCAGGGCGGCGCG